TAACTAAACAAAATAAAAATAACAAAAATATAGTTACATAAATAATAGTAAATACAGTTAAATTAAGTAAAATGAAAACAAATAAAGCAAAATAAAAAAAAGAACTGCTGCCATGCTAGTTATAGATTTATTATAAATGCTATTATTTATAAACTGGCTAATTATCTGACTTTTCACTGTAACTGATCCACCGATTCACTGATTAACGCATTCGCGGATTCGCTGATTTGGCAACATGCCGATAAAAATTCTTTTATTTTGCATTCTTTTCTCTTATTATTAACACGTTATTAAAAGATCTAGAATCATTTGCTAACCCTTTATAATATAAACACAAAGATAACCTTTTAAAAACAAACGTGAATAATCTAACAATTGGGTACTTGCACATCAAGAAGATCACAGATACCCACTCATGTGACCTGTGATGTCAGCACCAGCTGATCGACTGAAATATAATTCTACCTCTTCTACATCTTTTACTCAGATTTATTATTTGTTTTAGTACTTTATTGTAACCGTGATATATTTTTCTTTTGTGTACCTGGCAACGTCGATGCATAATTAGTTTGTTTATGTTCCACATGGCTTCGTGTCTGTCTGTGTGTTAAGTCTCTGTGTAAAGTGAAAGAGTTGAAATACTTGTGAAAGAATATAGAATACGTCACTTAAGAGAATTGATGCTAGACAGGCTTAGTTTACTCGAAATGGAATGGAAAGAACAGTTGCTGACGTAAACAAATTCCAAATCAACAACCGATCAGGATCGAGATACCTACACAACGTCACTTGCAGGCATGCCATTAATCAAGCTTTAAAAAATAATAAATAAAATAAAAAATAAAACTCGGGATGAAATCTAAAAGAATGATTTCATAAAAATATTAAAGTTATAATTAAATGTCTTGAATGGTGCTTGCAATTCGTCTAGGATCAAAACTTTTTCTCTTCAGACTAATAAAGGTTTTTTTTTTTAAACAAAAAGCGAAATTAAATTTAAAAAAAATTAAATAAATGTAACTCCGTAATAGCAAAAAATATTATTTAACGTTATTCGCTACGCTAATGTAGCTCGAACATGCACTATTAAATGCCATGAATTTGCAATTTGATAAAACCAAAATACTTTTTCTCTTCAGACTAATAAAGGTTTTTTTTTAAACAAAAAGCGAAATTAAATTTTAAAAAAATAAATAAATGTAACTCCGTAATAGCAAAAAATATTATTTAATATTATTCGCTACGCTTATGTAACTCGAACATGCACTATTAAATGTCATGAATGGCACTTGCAACTTGATAAAACAAAAAACCTTTTTCTCTTTAGACTAATAAAGGTTTTTTAAACAAAAAAACTAAATTAATTTAAAAAAAATAAAATACGAATAACAGCAAATTCGTTCTGTCTCCTTTACAAAAATCTTCATTCCTTTCCCTTTTCTAGAAAAATCACCGCCAAATGTTCGTTTTTGGCATTCATTAACACTTACTTATATCACCATTCTTTATTATTGTTCATGACCTGAAAAGTTTGAATGTCAACTTAGTGTCCTCTCATGACAGGCATTAATGATTATCTCTACCATTCACGCAATCATGTGCCCACTACCTTAAAGGTACAAAAACGTCATCATTTTCTCCATAAAAACACGAAAGATTCATAAATCATACAAGGTCGATATGTTTATTCATAAATCTAAGATCAATAAAAATACACTTTAATCACTGAGGAATCTCAGAGAAAAATGATGGGTAAAAAAAAAAATTCCATATTTTGTATTTTTTTATATGGGACATTTATAACATTTATTTTCAGAACTTTATTTATATGGGATTGATAGTCTTTTATTTTTATTTAGCACTACTTTAGTTAAACATTATATTACTTTTGTTATTGTGAATAGCTTCATTTATACATATTCAATTTAGATTTACATAGTTAGCATAGTAAAATAAAACTTTAAAATCAAGTATCGCGACTTGATATTTCATGGATTTTCTTGTATGATTTCAAGTTTAAAATTACATTCAACTCGCTTTATCTTCGTTTTATTGGATTTAACAGATCTGCAAAACAGTTTGTTCGTCAATAATAGTTAAGATTATAAGAAAATGACAACAAAATAAACATGTATTTTTCGAGAAAATTTTAAAAAATTATGATTTTTAACATTAAAATTTTATATAAATTTAATATTAAAAAAAAGTTTTTATCCGTCTTCAATTTAGCTTTTAAGTCAAAAAAATCGAATCAAATAAAAATATAGAACCCAGTCGCGTTTTTTTTTCTTTTTCTTTTAGGGCTGAACGACTTCAAATAATGGATTATTAAATAACGAAAAATGGATTATTAAATAACAACAAAACAAACAAAGTTGTTTGTTTTGTTGTTGGTAACAAAGTTGATATTTAGAGTTATAATTATATTTTTTATGTATCATATTTAAGAGACAAAAAAGCAATAAATAAGTAAACAAAAATAAATAAATAAAATGAATTAGAAAATTATGCGCATACCGGTTATAAACATTTGAAGTAAAAAGAAAAAAAAAAACGACAGCGAATCATGGAGAAAAAAAAATGGTGAAACAGAGAAATTCAATTTAAATATTATTGATATTTAATGTTAATAGTACAATTCCATTAAATATATTGAACAAAAAAGAGTTTCGACAAAAATTGGTGAAATGAAAAGAAAAATAAGTGTCAAATAAAAATAACAAAAATAGAGTGAAAGTTCCTGAAGTAAAAATAATCAAAATATTAATTCTAAAAATAGTTCTTGCCGTTTTACTCAATCACTTCTACTTTTCCCCTTAGGTTGAAATGAGAAGTACTTATTCTCAAACAGAAGAAAATATTAGAAAGGAAAATTTGGTTAAATCCAAGCGTTATTTTAAATAAAAAAAACTGTTTTGATTATAGTTTTTTTTATCCCTTGGAAATTCGCAGCATATGTGTGAGAAAAATTCTATACTTCCAGCTTAAAAATTATAGACTTGTTACCGATATTTGGAATCATAATATGATTCAAACTTGATAAACCGCTTTTGGATTATTCTAAATTCGTTTTTTTTAAGGTGGATTTACTTTTTCTGCTTTTTACATTTTGTGGTCTGAGAGTTCTCCCTCTTTCTTGTGAATAAATTAAAAAACTCATTTTAGCTTAAGTAATGGAAAATGAAATTTGTTATTTATAAAAATTGAGGCGGCATGAAGAATGATTACAAAACCATAGAATTAAATTTTTTTTAAAGAAGTTTTGATTTTTTTTTCGCGTTTAAAGAAGTTTTTTCCCTCTAACTAAAATTGAATTATGGTCATTTTAGTTCAACATATTATCGTGATTATAGAGTAAAATTAGTGATCGCCACCGGCCACAAAGGAACTAAATATAAAAAATGGCGGTTGAATAATTGTCTTCAAATCTCCGCTTTGTATTTACTTATGGCATGCATTTTGTCTGAAATGCGCCCTACGTGCATTTTATTATTATTATTTTTAATAAATATGAATTATTATGAATATTCTATAATATTCTGAAAATTACCTAAATAAACGTTTGTTTCTTAATTTATTCCCCCTCTTTTTTTCTTTTTTTAATTTCAGAAATCAATCTTGTGGTGTTTACCGTATTTTGAAAATTTTCTCAAAAAATATATTACTTTAAAATTATAATCAACTTTTTTTAATTGTTTAAAATTTTCAGTTTTTGAAAAAGTGACTACCGTGAAAGTTCTACAACTGACTAGTAGCGAAATTTCATAGTTTTTGTTCTATAATCGGGAAATGAATAATATGGCATAACTTACCCTATAATTTGGTTCATCATCAGCATAACAATAGTACCAATACCGCTTAAATTTCAACAGTTTTCTAGTCCACCGTGCACCAAATTTCTAAAGTTGGTTTGTAGAACACTATCCAGTGAAACAACAAGCGCCATTTTTACAAAAATTGCCTCACTGCTCAACTTAAAACGTTTTCTTATTCGGTTGGTTTGGATTTCATTCAGAAAGTTCATGAAAAAGATCATCAATAATCCTATTCCGATTAAAGAAGTTGAATTACTATAACAAGATGTTATTCATTATGAATACTTAGAAAGCGACGATTCATGCAATATCATTTTAAAGAGTAACTCATCCATGAAGGATGAAATTAGAAAAGATTTCACTTTAATGTATTATTTCTAAAAAAAAAGAAAAAAAATAATAATAAGTACCGTTCTAGACAGGAAAAAGCGTATTATTAGTTCTCCACTATCATGAACTTAGACGTATTTCACTAAGAATAAATCAAGCCTCTTTTTTCAAAATGGATTCCGGAAGTTATGCATGCAGGTAGTCATTTCCGCGCATTTAATTCATATATCGTGATATGAATATACAAGTATATTCAGCTACCATATAATTCTTTATACTTGTTTATTAAATGAAAAAATGGCCATAGTAGTAAATAGTTCTATTCTTCTCATTTTTGATGTGTTTTTTTAATATTAACAAAATTAATCGGGAATGAGAATTGCTACTATTTTTGAAATTTGTACAAATTGATTGAGTGTTTTTTGTGGTAAAAATTTGCTTTTTAACTCATTAATACAAGTGTAACATATTTTCAAAAATATTTTGTAAATTGATTTAAAAAAAATGTGAAATCCACCGAGAATTAAGAGAAAATAATGCTAATGCATTTTTTGCTTTAATAGAAATAGTAAAAAAAAAATTGCGAAAATTGGAAGCACAATAAAAATTTGCGAAAAAACACCGAAATTATTTAAGAAGCAAAGAAGAAAAAAAAAAGTATTCGTACAATCATAGCTATTAAAATATTTACTGAATAAAAAATTATACGATATTTATACCTTTTGGATATTGCAAAGATCAGATTTTATAATTTGAGAAAAAAAAACAAAAAAAAACGAGCGTCTAATAAGTGTTGCCATTGATGAAACTTGAAAAAAAATTATATTTAAAAGAAGGGTATGGTACAGTATTTACGTTGCACAATAGGCTGTGGCGAGGGTCTGGAAAACATCCCTGAGGATGATCCGAAAACAGCATGCACCTGAAAAAGAAGGCAGAAAGGGATTATTGCAAGCAATTTTCTTCAAATTTATGCCAAAAATAATTACAATTCCTTATTGTTTCCTACAGTTCTATAAATATAAATTGCGGGCGCTGATTTTAAAGATGTATGCATTTTTTTTCTTTCAAAATTCACTGAAATTGTTTACCAACTATGCTTGTACTAATCCTAACTATCTAATTTATTCTTGGCTTGTATTTTAATTGAACTTTATAAGTGATTTTTTAACTTTAAAACTTTAAGTTTAATTTAATTAAAGCCAGTTTTTTTTATTTAATTTTTATTCTAACATATATTGGAACATGATTATGAGTTTAGCATGCATAAATATATATATTTTAATTTCTGTAATTTTTTCAATCAAATTTGAAAACAAATTGCTTTATTTCACCTCATATTTCATACAGGAATAGAAAGGAAGAATAAAATAATTTTTTTTCAGTACAACTATGTTTAATGTGACTTTTTAATACAACTTTGTTTAACGGGACTCTTTATTCCAACTTTGTTTAATGTGCCTTTTTAGCAAAATTTCAGTTCAATGCTAACGTTTGATACTTAAGAAGAAAGAACTTCAGAACATTGAAGAATTGAACTTTCAAATTTAACACGCAAAAAGTAAATAAAAGAGTTGGCAACAGTTAGAGAGAAAAAATCACAAAAACGTTTTGTAAGTAAATAAAATGGTACTCTATTTAAAAACAGCGCATTTTGTATATAGGTACTTCGTTAGCGTGCATTACACAAGCGGTCATAGGTTTGGCAATTTATTCCTCTTGTTAATCACATGCTTAACAAAGAAAGGGCATCTTTTACGTGTCCTATTAATGTCCCTCTTTATTCACCAACAAAAAAAAGTACACCAACGAATGTTCGAATTAACTCTTGGAATCATTAGCAGAAGATCTACGTGGATAATGAAGAAAACTATTTCGGTCGCCATGTTCTGAAAATAGCAAAGATTTCCTTGATTCCATCGCCTTAGAAAGAAAAGCATGGTGCAGTGCCAAGAATAGTACATCACCTGCCTTCCAGTCGTATGGTTCAAAAAGTGCCTCCCTCATCATAATACAAGACTCCCACATTTGCACTGCAGACAGTCAGCTTTCAGAATCCTCACGAAACTGCACGTCACAGAACTGGCATTTATTCAAATTGGTTTTTGATTCGTTTTTCTCCTCAGACTTACGCTGCGTATGACTTAAAAAAAGCATAACTAAGCATTTGCTTTACAGTTAAAAGCAAGCGAGGAAACGTATAGGGTTTAGATAAAGCTTAATTTTTCAAGTTCAACAAGTTATTAAAACTGTTAGTACCTTGATAATGTTACCTTAAGCCTTACTATTAGGGTCTTGTGTACTGCTTCATATTTTAATAATCGTGTACAGGAAATAATGTTGCAACCATATCAGAAGATTAGAATAACAATAATCACTTTTTATCTAAGCTTGCATTGTTGTCTGCCATTACCTTGTTCTATCGTTGCCAAAGCAACTCATCTCAAAACTGAATCGCTAGATTTTAGCGTTGCAAGATACCACAGAATAAGCGCAAATCTTAGTTGCTGCAAACTTAAAAAGATTCTAAATTGAAGCCGTAATGGCTCAGGGGATAGAGCGCTCACCTTCCAATGAGGCAAACCGGGTTCGAATCCCAGTCGATACGAATTCCAACCGACACAGTGCTGACTTAAAATATCCTCAGTGGTAAACGGATAATGGGTTAGAGTCCCCTTCCCGTCAGGCTGATCGTGGAAGGTTTTCCTCACTATGGAACACAAAGGCGGGTTAGTTCCTTCAAAAAGTCCTCCACGAATGCAAATTTCTCCCAATACTAGCTCCAGGAGTTTCCTTGTCTTCTGGATTGGATTCAAAATTACAAAGCTACGGAGTTGAATATTAGCAGTCGTAAACCCAAAAATTGGGTCGGTTGTTCAACGAAAGTTATAAAAAGGTTCTAAAGGTTATACGAAGGTTCTAAATTAAATCATGTTTCTGTTCAGGTTGAAACATACCATCGTGTAATCAAGTTCAATAGGGATTAATTAGTACCATAATATGACTAATTTTATCCCTTAATTAAAGAGGGCAACAAATTTAAACCATATTACGGTTAAATCTGACATGGTTCAAAGTTTTTAATACGATAATTGTAAAGATTGCCCCTAAATAGAATGATAAGATTTATTAGTAAATTCTATAATGTAAACATTATATTTTGTTTCTGAATGTGCATATTTTTTAGCTTAATTAATTGTAATTTTTTCTTTCACGATAACGTCACATTACGTCATATTAAATTTATAATTAGCCAATAACTAGTACAAAAGCTTTTAAGTTTTGTGCTATTATGAATTAATGTGTTTGCTTCGCGTATCTCACTAAAAAATAAATAAATATATGAATGAATAAATAAATAAATGAAAATAAATAAATAAAATTAAAATGATTTTAATAAATATTTAAATCAATAATAATAAAATACTGGAACTCTGAATAAATCATGGCATTTGTCGATTCAGAAATCCATCAGGTTCGACAAACACGCCTGACGTCGATCGCAGTTATCCAATTAAATCTGATTTAAATTGCACAGCATTATCACTTCACTTCTTCTCGAGTTGCAAGTACCCTTTTTACGTAAAAAATAAATAAATAAAAAAAAATCACGAGGACCATCTAAATAATGACTATCCATGATAAATCATGTTTTAGATGTATGTTGCGATAGCCAATTTATGATGTAAATAATAAGTTTTTACTTTTATATTAGCATTTTTTAGCCTTGGTTATGCAGTATGCAAAATTATATGTTAAAATCATTTTTTGAACTTTCGTATAAATCACAGTGATCGACACAGGGTCTTGTTACATGCAACTAAAACGAATTTTCTATGTATAACATCGTTTTATATAAGACCTCTGAACCAATAATCCGATTTTCCTTTTGTTGCATAAGATTAATATACATGTGAATTCTTCATTTACATAGTGCATGTTTTTAAACTCTAATTTCGAAGATTTTTTTTAAATAAAAAATGCGTTGAAAAAAGGAATTGTTTTTTGATTATTAACGTAATTGGTTTTCGATATGAAGTTATTACCGTAACAAAATTCAGTTCTGACCCCTTCCTCAAAAACACAAAAAGTACTTCTTTGATATTTTGTTAGATATTTGGAAAAATCTTTTCTCTTTGATTCTTGAATTAGATTTTTATAAATATACTAAAATACTAATTTCTACTTGTTTTAATCGAACTAAAACTAAACGTATCCCTCTGGTTTGTATCATTATTTATATTTTGTATAAAAATTCTCTACAGAACTTTTTAAAAATTAAATGAAATGAAAAACTAAAATGACATAAATAATTAAAAATTTAAGAGGAATTTTAAATGGGCCTTCAACAATCCTAGGCCCTTAAACAATTGCCCCTCCCCTTCTTGAGTACGGCCTTGAACAGAAGAAGTTCAATGACACGAAAAAGTAAAAATTTTGTAAAGTGCGGATTTTTAAAAATACTTAGAATTTGTTATTTATCACAAATATTTACTTAAATGAATAGAAAATAGTTACTGTTAACCATTAATTAAATAAAATTTTCTTAAAATATTATTAATTGCTGAAATACTTTGTTAATTAGCGATCTTAAAACATAATTCATGTTTCTATCAAATTTTTTTAAAATAATTAATACTTTGAAATATCACTAGGAAATCGCATTCTTTATTTCTGACTTTATTTCAGATTAAAAAAAATTATAACAATACATTACAAATTAAATAATTTTATAAAAGTAGATATTTAAAATCACTATTTTTGTTGAAAATTTCTGATTTAATTAAAAATTTTAAATATCGTAATGTTGTTCCACATTTTATAAAATAATTATTGTATTAAAAAAAATAAAAAAGAATATTAGTAATTTTTTTTAAAGTTTATATTGTTCCGATATATATAAAACCATCATTATTAAAGATGTATTTTTTTTTTCATGAAAAAAAAGCACTTTTATTTTTATTGACTATTTTCATATTTGTCTTTTTTATTAAAAATTGAAATTTATCTTTAAATCTAATCATATCACTGTAAAAAAAAAGAAGAAAAAAAACTTAATGCTGGATGTATGAAAAAAAATACATAATTCCTTTGAAATACTTTTTTTTTCAAAATTTTTGTTAATAACATATAGGTTTAAAACGAATCTGTATTGCCCTGTGAAAAAAACAATACCTCACAAATGAAAATTTATTTGTTTTTATGACGAAAAAAAGAATGTCTATTATTGCAAAATGAAAAAAAAAAATTCCAACAAATAAGCAATTTAAAAAGTTGACTCACAATGTTAATTAAAAAAATAAGTTTGGGGGTTAAGCTGCAGCCCGCCCTCATTTCATACATTCACGTTCGATACGCGATTTCTTACTACACATACCCAAAAAAGGATATATACCTCATAGTAATATCTGATTGGGTCTCATTCCTAAAACAACCGTAGCATGAAACGAAAAAGCGTTGTTCGGTCTGCGCTGACTCACCTCTAACAAGAGATACTCATAGGCAGATAGCACGAGCTACGTATAATAAATAGTCCATGTTATAATTTTTATTATAAATAATAAAGTCACTCTCGTCACTTCTAACAATTCATTTTTCTCCTTAAAAAAAGAAAAATTATTTAATAAGAACGATAAATTTGCATAAAGTCAAAAAGGAAGCATTTAAGTGCAAATACAGAGCTGGTGAGTTTGTAAAGCCGCGTCTTATTGGGTGAAATTAAGTGCTCCCTAGTTTTAAAGCATTTGATCTCACAAATGACAGCGTAGCTGACACTGGTGTGGAGACTATACGCGGAAGAATACAAGAGCGAACCCTCCCGAAATTTTCTGAACTGAAAGAAGCCGGTGTTATATTAGTCTACCAAATATTAAATAGCTTTTGGGATATTTAAATAAACACCATGGTGAGTTTTATTTTACTATTTATGGATAGCATAAGAATTTTTATGTAGATTTAATGTATTAGTACTAATAGTTACTGTAAATTGTGTGAATATACCATGAAGTTTCTTCTGTGCCGGTGTCGATTAAGCCTAAAAATTCGTCAAGTGCTTATCTTTCATTGGGATTTCATGCACAAAACTAAATGCTTGTTCGTTTGTCAGCTAAGGAAAGACACCTCCTTACCTTGGAACAACAAAGAGTGAAGTAAATAAGAATAGCTATTTAATTCTTGTTTTGTCCGCTGAGCTATTTTTAGTTTCAATGCGACTGAATTTTCAGGGCTTGGTCTGCAAATATTTTTTTGGCAAGCACAAAGCTATCTGCTTGGTGAAATTTGTTAGCATAGTTAACGAAAGTTCTCAACTTGAGTTCTATTGTGGTCCTGTTACCTAAAACGTTGATAGAGAATAAAAAATGCATTGGTCAATTTTCCTAGAAAGTTTCGTTTTCGACATCTACAAATAACAAGTGATTTGACGTGTCTAAAATGTGGATCAATGATGTGCAGTTTAACGTGACGTCTAATTTGTGGATATAATACACGAAGGATTACTTTCACATAAAATTTACATTTAATTTAATTAATGTTTTGGTAAAAAAAAATTTAATATGCCTGGCCCGGTAGGTTATGTTCTTGAATTTATAGTACTAAATTTTATGAACTTAAAAATTACCAATTTGTTATTTTTCTAATTGTAATTGGCACTCTTTTAATTTTATTTTCTATTGGTTGTCAAGCTTTTGGGAGTAATTTCCGTATCGTGATCTGTGGCAGAATAATCGCAGTCTTGGCAACTTTCGAGCAGCAGCCCACTAGAAACTTTAAAAAAAAGTCACTCGTTGCCCCCCCCCCTCCGGAAAATCTGTATATTTTTTTTAAACCTCGTTTTATTGGCTAAATATTTATTTGCAATGTACTTTTTTTATCCATAAAAAAGTTAAAAGAAAAAAAATGTTTCTCTAATTGTCAGGCAGTTAACAGGTAGGTAATTCATTTAGATATGTAGAAATGCTTTAAGGCAAGGGAAATTCATAATAGGCAGGACATTTTCTATGTATTTATTTTTCTGAGTAAAAAAATGTTTACCTGAAAAATAACCTATGTCCATTGGTTCGCATTTTTGATAAGTTTTCTGCATTTTTGCTAATTCTCAAATTTTCTTAATTTTGGTAATCTATTCATTAAAATTTCTCTTCTCATTGTAAGATTACTCAAATATGAGAGTAAGATTACTCATTTTTAGAGAAATTTGTATTAAACTGATTTTTGAAATTGTACAATTCTAATATCACTATTAAAGAAACTGACTTGGGATTTATTTTGCAGTCTGCGTGAAATGAGCGAATAAATAAGCCCTCATAGATACAAAATAGACGCATCGCAATGCATAAATTGAAAATCTTATTTAAGCATTATGGGATTTTTAAAATCATTCTGAAAGGTTGGTAATAACTGCTGAGTGCTATATAACTACATGGAATAAGTTAATCAATGTGGTTTAATTATATAAATATTATATAATTATTAGGTTGAAACTAGGGTTTTGAAAATAACATAATTTGTAGTGATCATTACTGTAAAAATGAATGCATTTTTTACTTTTAAAATTAGAACTATGTAGCCTGATCACTTTATTAGACAATGTTTTGAAGTAAACTATAACATAGATAGTAAGAATTAGTAATTTTTAATTTTAGAGTAATTTTTTCTAAATGCTAGAACTAAGAGCTTAAGTCCCTTGAAATGTTAGAATATTTTAATGTAATCTTCATAAGCAATGCATCTTATCAAAATTTTAACACTATTAAATTTAATATCAGAAGTATTTCTATGTTGAATATCCTATTTCAATGTTTTTGAAAAATTATTTTTCTGTAAATGTATGTCATTATCTAAAAAATGGTTGTTTCAATCTTCAAAACAGATTTTCTAACCTTCAAATAAAAAATATGTTAACATATTATCAAAAACCACTTTGCCTGTCCTAGGTAGACCTATTGCTAAAACATGTTGATGCAAAGTACAAAATTTCATTTGATATGATGGATCAACTTTGTTGAGGTGAATAAACAGTGGAAATTGTTGAAGAAATGGTCACTAGAAAATGTAGTAAATGCAAAAAAGTTTCAGAAATTCGTATGAAATCACTACAATTTAGTGTTTCTGAAAAAATTAATTCGTTAGTTGAAATGGACTTGATTTTACCAGTTTTTAAAAGTATTTCTTGTTATAACTTGCATTTATCTCTAAATGAGAGAAAAGCCTAGTGCCAATTCGACATATTTAAATTTTTATAAAATATTTTTTAGTTTAATTTTCCCGTTCAGTTGACACAATTTGCTATAATCAAACAGAATATTAAGTAAGAAAAAAATCCTGGAATTAATGGGTTAATATTGACAGTCCTGAAACAGATTTTATTGTTACATATTGAATCATAAAATTGAAGTTTTTGTAAAATAAACTAGTCTACTATGTGGTAAGGTGAGTAACTTCTTAATTTTTGAACTAAAAATCTTGAGAGAAATTCTTTTAAGTTTTAATGTGCATTTTCAATTAGTTTTTTATTAACTCTGAATTTGTTTTAAAACATAAATGCTGATGAAATGAAATTTTTTCCACTTTTGTATTCCATTGACATTAACTATAAATATTATACTATGTAATTCATTTATTTTATTTTATTTATTTTTTTTTTAAGATCTATCCTATCCTTAAAGAACACTTAATTTATTTAGATATAAGTGAGCATTTTTGTTTGAAAAAAATTTTTTTCAAAAATTATAACTGGCTTTGTAAATTTGAAATTCTGGAAAAACTAAATGAGAATTTATTCTTCAATTTTTTTTTAAAAATATGAACAATTTAGCTATATTAAATTTTATGTTTGAAATTTACTAATCGTTTAATTGTTTGACATCTTTGACTTGCAGGCTAAGTGGGGGGCTTTCTGTATCATGATCTGTGAGTAGAATAGCCACTGCTGGACAAGCATATGTTTTTTGTTTCTAAAAATTGCAAGTTATCTATTTGGCACCTTGGCGATTGTAGTTTGTGCACCAGGTCAAGATACAGAAATGTCTCTCATGGAAAAGCTAAATTTGAAGAATTGAAACTAAATGATTTTATATCCAATAATATCTGTCGTGCTAATTTTTTTGTTTCAAAATTATATATAGGCCAGTCAATTTCAGTTTTTTTTCTTCAACACTTAGCTTTAAAAAATTTTTAAGCCTCCATTTTTGGTTTTTCTACTTTCATTAAAGAAAAGCATGTTGATGGAACGTTTCTAATAGACTTGATTATTTATTGTCCCTTTTTTTTCTAGCATGGTTTACCAGATAACTCAGCATTTAAGCAATATTTTAGAAAGAATTTTTTCTGTTTCGCTTTAGATTTTTCTTATTGACTTTTTTATCTTAGTTTTCTTCTCATGGCAGCATTTTTTAAAAGTGCTTCTAATGAACGTTATTCTTTTATGATCACTTTTTCTAAAAATGTGGCAGTTTGAAAAGGTTTAAATATTGAACAGTTTTTGTTTTGCTTTCTAGATAGCTTTTTCAAATGTTATTTTTTATACTCTTGTTAAGACATGACAAAAGTGTTTCTGTCGGATTAACCTTTTCTTAAACATAGTCCTTGGAAAACTGATATGTTAAGCTTTAAAAAGAATTAAGATTGATTTTCATTTTCTGTTTTGCTTTTGTGTATTATCTTTTTTATAGAAGTTTTTATGATAGCACTGCTGCGTTTCTGATAGACATTCTCTTTATTCTTTAAAGGGTAAAATATTATTTCTAGTAATTAAGTTTTGTTTTAAGAATTAAGGGATATATATTATCTTAAGCATAATGAGGGGTCTGTTAAGAAGAAATTTGGGTACGACAATGGACCCTTCACGTAATTTATCTTTTAATCCGGCCCTTCACAAATTTATCTCCATTATTGCTTTTTTAATCAAATAAACCCTTCCCAGGGAAGGGGAGGAAATAATTGCTGTTTATTTTTTAAAATGTAATTTTTATTAAAATTAGAATTTTATTGTTGAATATTGTTCTTTTTTTGCAATAACCGGAACTCTATTTCCACAAATTTAACAAAAGCAGGACCCTGGTTGAAAGAATATGACTTAACATTTATTTTTATTCACAAATTACGAGTAATTTTTTTCACAATTTTACAAAACGTACCTTTCACAAAATGTCTGGACAGACCTCTTGATAGTTTTTTCCCATTTACCCCATACCAATAATTCAAGTAAGTTAAGATTATTTTTCAATAATGACATTTTTTTTTAAATTTATTTCTGTATAAAATATATTTGTATAAATATATAGTATATATATTTAAAATATTGTTCAAACCTCAAAATCAAAGCTGATAAGTTTGCTATTTCAGCAAAAGCAGTAATAAATCTTGTAGAGAAAATAGTTTTTCAGTTTCACAAGTCAACTAACTGTAGAGTAATGTTATGAAATTTTGAAATGGTGAATTGAGAGATCCACTAATTCATATAATAAATACAAAAATGTTAAGTCAGGGGTCTGTCCAGACCGAATTTACTACAGTTTAGCGGTACCTTCACAAATTCAACTTTAGGAAAAACTGTAGTTTCACAATACTTTTTCTTAAAATTTCATTTTTGTATTCCTTAAGAAATGCTAAATCCATATTCTTGCCATATTTTTGTGTTGGATTTTTAAATATAATTTTTAATTTTTCACAAATTATGTCTAAATTTTCACTAAGTAACTCTCAGATAAACCTGGACAGATTGTAGTAGTCTATATTTCAAGTTCTTTTTGCTGTAAAGAGGAATATTTAAGATTGAATAACCACACAGACAGTGTAATTTTTTAGATTTTTGAAGCAGTGTTTTTGATAATGTCCACCGTCAAAAACTTGCTAATCCTAATTACTGTTGTCTTATTGCTTTAAACATCCACATGCTGAATTAAAGAGGTGCTAACAGGAGGTCATCGAACCTCTAAGTGCTGCTACTGAATTTTACTACCGATATTTTTGACTTCTATGTTTTACTGTGCACTTTTTATATGGATATCACTTTATTTATAATGCAATGTAATATTCATAAGCCATTTCTTTGAGTTTTAAATCTTGTCATTTTGTTTATCTTGAAGACAGTTTGAAGTACCAGGTACATTTATATTAAGTTAAATATTTTGACTGTGACTCTTATTTTAAATCATATTCTTCTCACTGTAGGGATTAAGATGTTAATTTATTGGTTCTTTTTAAAAACATTGGTAAATGTTTTTAATTACTTATGGATATATGTCATTAAAAATGTTTTGCTTTTCTCTTAGAGATTCTGTTCTCTTCTATTAAGATATCCAAAAAGAAGTTTCTTATTGAAATAATAGAGAAATTTATTTCTGAGAATATTACGTGAATAAACTTTTCATAAATTAATATTAGGTTCTTTTTATGTTTAAGACTTCATGTCTGATAATATTCAATAGATACTTTTCTATGTAAAATATTGGTTATTCACTTTATTATACTTATTAGTTTGTCTAAAGTAAAAACTCCCCTAGCCATTCTTCTGGACCTGTGGAGGTGACCATGGTAACGAAGTATAACTATTTCAAGTAGAGGTGTGGGGCCCATAGTTTGGGAAGGTTTTGTTAAGCTCTGGTCCCAAAAGGAAGGGAATCTTTTTTCTTCATTCTGTGTTAGCCCTAGAGTGAAGAGAAGCTACCCTCCCTGAAATGCTGCTATTGTTTCCATAGCAGTAGACAACACCAGACTTAGTGGCAGAGGAGTTCTTACCATAGACAAACTATAGGTCTTGTCACTCCTTATAAATAAATATAATTTTACAAATATTTTGATAAAAAATTTAGAGGCTGCTGAATCAACAGTAGTAGGCTTGTCAAAAATTCAAATTTGTTTATTAATATTCTCTAAATTTTATTATTTAATGTTCTTTTTTTCTCCCCATAGTCATCTGGAGTAACAGTATCAACAGCAGCAAAGACTACTTATGAAGAAGTTAAGAAAGACAAAAAATACAGATACATTATTTATCATATTAAAGATGAAAAAGTAATTGATGTGGAAGTAACTGGTTCCCGAGAAGCAACCTATCCTGAATTCCTTGAGCAGTTGCAGACTTACAAAGATGACTGCAGATATTGTGTATTTGATTTCCCTGCTAACATTCCCGTTGAAAGTGGTCAGGAAAAGTCCTCTATGTCAGTTGATAGGCTAATTCTTATGACATGGTATGTAATTTGTACTTTATTTTTTTAAATTTTATATTCGGACTTAACTTTCTACAGTTTTGACATACATTAGTTTCGACATTTGACTTACTGTGATTTTAATTGTATCACTATATTTAAGTTTCTAGTTCATATGCAAAATACTGTTTATTTATATACTTTTATATTGTGTAGATAAATTCTAATTTTTTGGAGTTTTCTTTTTATTGTCTTGGGATATATTTTCATGAAGGAAAATTTGAATATTCATTTAGCCAGATTTTCAAATATTTAAATGGCATATGAATTAATAAAGTTTGAGATTAAATTTGTGCATAATTTGTAAGTTAATGTTTTCTTATAAGATTTATAAAAATATATCTACTATAATTAAAATCAGAATTGTTATTAAAAATAAAAACTATTTTATTTGAATTAATATTTAAAACTTAAATATTTAGAAGTACACATATAATCAAGTAATGAATTCATATTTTAAAAAACTGAAGTATTTCTTACAGTATTGAGCTTAAGTAGCTATATTTATAGTTTGTCTAGTTTAATAATTAAATTTTCCAAGAATATTTCTTTTTCTTAACAATTTTGAGTGACTTTAATTAAATTATCAAATTATTTATAAAACTGATCTTTTTATAAAAAATTTCATTTAAATAGATTTTTATAATTCATGAACCTTTTTAAAATTTTCCATTAAATGTATATAGAATAATTTACGTGCAAAAAACAATTATATCTATTGCTTATAAAAATTTTATGCTTTTTCAAATTCAATGCTCTTATTTACATGTAGTTCATATATATCAACCAGAGTAACTTCAAATATTTTTTATTTTATTTTTTTCAGTATGTGTTTTAATCTAAACTAATTTACTTTTCTAGGTATCTAATTTTCTAATCTTTTATGCTCATTATTGGGTTGAGCTATGATTTTATTTATTCAATTAGGTTTTAATAATTAAAGGATTTTCACTATTTAGTAAAAAATGTTAAATATTTTATCTTATATATTTTTTTAAATAAAATATTTTGCATTTATGTTATCAGTTGTTTTTGTTAGTAAATGGGAAAATCATGCAAATCATAAATTCATATTTTTGCAAAGAATTTTAAGAATTCAAGTAGATAATCATTGAAGTGCACTATATAAAGACAGATGATATGTGAGATCATGATACATGAGATGCAAAAATATGTAGAATTTTGCAAGTTTTGATTTTTACAATAGGTCTTAAAGTTCTTAGTGGTTTTAGGTCTGACCCCAAAATGCTTAATTGCACTGAGCAATCTTAATTTGAGCTTGAAAACTAAAATTTTCTACTTAGAGCAAGATTTTTATAGCTCATTGGTATATTCTAGTAATATTTCGTAAATAAATTCTCTGTGTGACATAGACCTGACATCTTTTAATATTTTAATTTTTCCATTTACCTCATATTTTTCTTTTTACTTACAAAATAAAGTGAAATCTATTAAAAAGAAATTAAATAAACATTTACATTAAAAATGGCATATTTTACCACAATAAGCTAAATTTCATGTTCAATTTACTATGCTATTCTGATTTTTTTATAATGTACTTCAGTTTGCTGTTCATTTTTCATTTTGCAATTTGTTGCAATTTTTCTTAAATTTTTCACCTTTTATAATTTAAAGCTGGAAATATTATATTTAATAGATTTGAAATTGTGTATATTTCCTTTTCAAATTTTGAGATTCAGTTGTCATTTCATCATTTAGATATTTTAAATTAGTTAGACAATTACTACTTTTTAATCTGAAGGGATAATTTTTGAAAATATATTAAAAAATGATAGTTCATAGAAATATTCCTGGATTGAATTTAACATAACCAAGCAGATGGGAATGGAGATACTATAAAAATTGCTTGATGAGAAAATTATTACATTTTGCTGGATTTGCAATCCATCTATCTAAACCTAGCATACAAAATATTAAGTGTTGGTATTATGTGATCATATATATTCACCAGTAGAATATAGCAAAATTTATCTGAAGTCTTACTGAAAAAGTAGTCTCAATTCGTTTTCTTGTACAGCAAAAAATTCTTGTAAAATGTAACATTTATCTCAATAATATTTACTACAATAAAAAGGTTTCGTAAAATTTAACATTCTTAATGTTGGAAAATAAACATCGTAACCATTTTGATATTAACACATTGATACACATATTCTAATCAAGAAAGAGTGGTTTAAAGGCTTTTAATTGAAAAATTACTTAAAATATTAACCAGAATAAAAATGAGTTTTTCATTCTTAATTCATTAACTTACGTTTACATCTAATGTGAACAATTCATGTTAAACACCAAGATAAGTACTTTCAAATTAATTATATATTTAGATATTTTAAACTGTATAATGCTTTATTCAAATAAACTTCAAAGTTTAAGTGGGTTTAAAATTATAAATTCTCAGAAATTTGATGTGTAATGAGGCAAGTTTTTTACTTTTGTGCAATTTATGTTCCATACAGTAATTCATTTAATTTGTACGTATCAGATTTTATAAAGTGCTTTTTCATAGAATATGATGTACTAAGTATTTTAATACAAGTTTAATAACTTTGACTTTAACTTATAATTTATCAATGTAATTGTTTTAAGAAAATTAAATCATTTTTTTTATGTCCAATGCCATGGAATTGCCCTTTAGTTATGCAACATTAAGTTTATATTTTAATAACTAAATTTAATATTAAAAATGTTCATAATTATAAATTTAAGTTCGACTCTTATATACCTTTGTCTAAAACATTCATTTAAGAAATTAAATTTTTCCAAATTTTAATTTAGTTTTAATGAATTTTTTTAATATTAGATATATATTTTATGAAAAGACTTCTTCAGGGTTTGGTTTTTGATTGTAAAAACTGGTTTTTGGCATGTCGTGTCAAACACCTGTCAGTGTCAAGAACTAGCATAAACTGTAGATCTGACAAAAACTGTTTAAAACGTGGTACAAGTTGCTTTTTTGGCAGGGCATTTTATTTAATGTTAAATCATGCACAATGCTTGTCTCTCTCTACTACTATAATTGATTTATATTATATATAACATATAAATAATAAACCTAAAATTATTGAAACTAATAATAGGTTTTTCTAAAAAAATTTAACTTAATTCTTTTAATTCATTATTTACAGTATTATAACTATTCAATTTATATTACAGGTAGTTTTTTATTAATCTAAATATTTCAATTATTTTATGGTACAGTTTTTAGAATGAGTAAAACTAAAGCTTTTCCCAATACTCATCTGATCCCAACTTATAATTTTTTTCATTTTTGATTCTCTATATTTGTTATTGCTTATATGAATATATCTGATTTCGCAAACAAGGTTTTGGAGAATTCAAACAGTCATGGAAAATTTTTGTCTAAAAAAAATTTCAACAAAATTTTTGATTTAAAAATTTTTTGCTTTCCAAAAAATTTTTTAAAAGAATGTTAATTTATTGTTTAATTGGAATTCCTAAAGTTTAATGTTTAGAATTGTGTAAAATTAAATTATTTTCCCTATATAAACTGTACTTTCCAAAAATATTTTTAACCTGTTATAATACAAAATGCTGTAATTGTGGGGGAAATTTCTATTCAAAAACTTAGTTCTAAGGAAATATTACCCTCTGATAATATTCTGTACTCCTGCTTGTATGTGCATGAATATTTCCAGTCAGTTCAAGTTTCAATCAATATTTACTACAGTAATTAAAAAATTTTCTAATTACATTATATGTTATAATAGTTACAGTACGTTTACGTTCTAGTCTATGCAGCTCAGCACCAATCAAAAGAATAGCTTGGAATTTCCGTCTTATTCTGACAACACTAAAAAATTGAGTACAAAAGGGGCTCATAATTTTTTTATTGTGTGCTTCATGAAAAGGAGCTAATGAAAATTGATTTACATATAAGATTGACATATTATATATAAGATACATATAATAAGATTGACTATTTTTTTTTGTTGGCATAATTGTTTTTGTATTTATATTTTCAATGATTAAATAAACATAAATCTCCATTTTAGAAATTTGTATTTATAATTTTATATTCTACAACAAAATCTAAGTTTTGACCATAATTGTCAAAACCGTTAAATGCCAAAATTATTCAAGAACATAATTGATCACTTGTAATTTTATATGTATGTTAATAATACAGGGGTCTGTCCAGGCCGAATTTACTACCGTTTAGCGGTACCTTCAGAAATTCAACTTTAGGAAAAATGGTAGTTTCACAAAATACTTTATCTAAAATTTTATTTTGTATCCTTAAGAAATGATAAATTTATATTTTTACTATGTTTTTATGTTGATTTTTTAATATAATTTTTAATTTTTCTCAAATTATGCCTAAATTTTCACAAAATAGGTACCTCTTAGAAAAACCTAGACAGACCCCTGAAATATGTATGTTTATAATAGCTAATAATTATCCAGACACCAAAATTTTGGATTTTTGATGTGACTTTTAAAACTGGTTGAAATCATCAATTGTCATCAAACTTAAAAACCGGAGTTTCTTCCAAATTGTTTTTTTTTTTTTTTCCCTGGAGTTTTTACCACTGTCAGTCCACGGTTATAAGTATAACCCTCTGGTTAAGATGAACAAAACCCTGTTCTTTAAAATTCAGTCTCTTAAATTTATAAAGAATCTCTAATCAATTTTTCCTTTTGTCTGATGCCAGTGTTATCTGATGCCAATGTTACATTTTTATAATTTTTCATTATAAAAATTTGTAAATGTCTGTTAGTTTGTAGAATCAGTTACCAAATTGGATGAGATTTTTTTAATTTTGAAGTGAGACTAAACTTAAAATTTTATTATATTGAATATTTTTGCCTGTTGTGAAGAAAATTTATAAGTGTCTAAAACCTTAAAAAAAATGTTAATAAATTGTACCGAATTATAGGGCATCTATTTGCATCTCTCCTTTGTCTAGGTACTGAATTTTTTTTAAATTTAAATTTCTGTTTCTAAGGAATTTTCCAGCCTATTTAAATAAAATTTTAATCCCATTTGGAACATTTTTCTAATCCAATTAAAGTAACACTGAATATATACATGCATCATATTTAAATGTCTGAAACAGTTATTTATATATTCAATTAAATGTGATTTACACCTGTTTGTGAACAACCTTGCCATGGAAATTATATTGATTTCATAAATGCATGAAGAATCTCTTTGGTTAAATATATTTATTGATTTTAAAAAGCTGAGAAATTTGATTTGAGACTGTCAAATAACCTTTGATTGCCAAAAATTACAGAAGTTCACCTAGCTTTAGTTAAGGTGAAAGATCAGTATTTCTGTAATTTTTCTGCTCTAGTCATTGTCTTGTAAAACTAAAAAAATTATTACTTTACCTAATATCTTTTACTAAATTGCGAAAACTTTGTTTTAGGTGTCCTGAAAGCGCCAAGATCAAACAAAAGATGTTATACTCTAGTAGTTACGATGCCTTGAAGAAAGCTCTAGTTGGTGTATACAAATATGTCCAAGCTTGTGACTTTGAAGAGGCCAGTCAAGAAGCAATTGAGGATCATTTCAGAAAAGGCAAATAGGACACTTGCTTGTGTATCAGCGGTCTTTATGGTACCGGAGGAGCGACTTATGAAGTGTCTTCTCGGCACTTTAAAACGATCCCTCTTCCATTGCTTCTGTTTATTTTTTTTCAAAAAAAAAGATGCCAGACTGGGATGCTCAGTGTAAACATCTTAAAATTACAGAAATATCTGGGAAGTGCTTGTAGAGCATCTTTATATTTACTTTTGTATGCTGATTAATATTTAAATGTGAAACATGTAGAGAAGTTCCTTTTTTTATATACCTATATATCATTTTCTTAATTGTAATTGGCAGTCATAAGGAAATCGCATGATTCTACAACTGTTTTGAAAAGGAAAAATTATTTAAATGTTTGTATCGCTCAACATGTGATTTTTTTTTTTTTAATTCTATGATTGAAAGGGATTAGTCAATCTGTTATTTCACTTGGTACCATTGCTGTGCAAACACTTCCAGTGTCTCTTAAATAATTTATGTCATATCGTTTCCTTGTGTTTTTCATATGACTGTATTTGTATGTAAGCACCAAAAAACAAAATAAAATAATTTGATTTTTTTTCAATGAAATTATGTGGTCATAAATTGTGAAATTATATATCTGTAAGCATCTGATAACTTTTCTCTTATACTACAATATCTTTATAAATTGTAACGAACCTAACCAAATTAATCTTGACTTTTTTTTCATTCCATCTGAAAATTTTGTAATTTCTTGCTAGAATGACTAGATTCTTTCATAATTTTGTTAAAAGTAAAATAAAAATTTTTGTCATTAACATTTCTGCCTCTTTAACTTGGTTTTTTATTTTGTTGGAAAGTTCATTTGCATTTATTGACTAGAATGCTAGATGTAAGTTGTAGTTTAAGTTATTCCTGTTCTTTAGTAAAATTAAAACACTTGAAATTCACTAAAAGTTTAATTAAATAAGTAAAGGACTATTAAAATCTTGTTTAAAAATTAACCTGATTTTTATAGTTAATTGATAGAAGTTTAAAAAAAAAAAACTAACTTGTTTTTGAAACTAAATTTTTCTTCTAACATTTTTGGAAGTACAGTGGACTGCTGATTAGATTTTTTAATGAAATCAGAAATTTTTATTTTTGAAAATCAACTCGACTGCATGACTTAACTTGAAGTAATTATTATCTGAATTATTGCAAAGTGGTCAAATTTATTTCCTTTTTTAAAAACTAAAAATAGTTATAGCATATTAATCTTCTATGATCTGTTCCTCAATTTAGGTAAATCAATTTTCAAAATACAATACAAACTTTTTTTTGTAATGAAAAGTTATCTTTAAGACTTCTGAAAAAGGTAAGATTTTTGTAGCACATAAAAATTAAAAAGAAAAAATTGTTTTTTTCTCTTTTATACAATACTCGTAAAACTAACAAAATTGGAAAATGATATTTCATTGAAATAAAAGTGGGTACACTTTAACCAGATACTTCCTTCCTCCACTACATATGTTTAGCTTTGTAATGCTAAATTTGTTAATACTTATTTACAGACGAAAAATAATTTCATACAGAGTTGTTTGTAAAACTATTTTTAATGCAAACTGATGGCACATCAGGGAATTTTTAATCTATCTATTATTTGTAAATGGATTTATGTTAACTGTTCAACTTAATTCCTGACATTTTCCTGTTGCCTCTTTTTTTTCTTTCTCATGTGGCCTCTCTGAATGAATAATTTTCATTGCTTGAATGGCTGATGAAAACTACAAAACAGTGCTTCATAGAATTAGTGTCAAACTTTTAGCATTTGAGTAAATTAGGCTCCGCCCATGATTGCTTCATAATTTGTTTCTTCAAGCAGACTCTTTCATCAAGAATAAAAAAATTTATGTATTAATTCATAATTGATTCCTCAGATTTATTTTTTGATTCTATGTTGGGTAATAAAAAAAAGCCCTATTTAAACTACAGCATTAGTACTCTGATAAAGTTTCTGGTACATACTACAAATGTGTGCGCCCTTGGTCACCCGGCTCCATTATCATTAATTTGTTTGTATTTAATTCAGTCACACAATCTGGAATGTGTTCATGCTGCCTTGAGATTAGTTGTACATATACTTATGAAGGATCAACAGGGTGGCCACCCACCTTTAAAATCTGGAATTATCAGGGAATTTTTTTATTCTGGAAAAGTCAGGGAAATTGAGAGAAAAATCAGGGGAATTTTAAAGAAAAGCTGGAAATTTTTTCTTAGATATTTTTTTTAAATTTCACTAATATAAATTATTTACTAATTTTCTTAATTTAAATTATTTCATTCATTATACCCACATTTTTTAGATGGAAATGTATCTCCAAACAGTTAAAATGTCATCAACTAGCTATACTTTGCTTGCTTCTAAATTTGCTCCATTATAACCCTGTTTAACTAGAATAACAAATGAAATTCTCCCATATTTGCTAAACAAATGAAGAAACCTTTGATCTCTATGGGACTGCGCAATTTAGGAAAGGCAAAGATTGTGCTGGATGTAGAAGAAGGGGTTAGGATATTTGCTTCTGTTTTAAGATTCTGTACGTAGGCAGAATCCATTTGTGGCTCAAGTTTGTTCGGATGCTTTGGTGGTAATTTTTTCTCTATTTTGACAAAATGAGTCCAAATGTTTTTTGTTTTTTTAACTTTATAAAAATTCTCCAAAAATTAGTTGGTTATAATGTAATAATCATAGATTTTATATTGCACTCTTTTTTTTCTGAAAGCTTCTGTACTCCCATTCAAAGAAATCTGTAAATTATTTTTCTCAGCTAACCAATCAATCGCACATTTTTTTACAAACGCTAACAGCAATGTTTGTCGACAAATTGTTGCATTAATGCTAATTTTTTCTATTTCATTTTAATCTTTTATGACATATTTTAATATTAAAAAAGATTTTTTTAGAGCTAACTATATATTAATATCAAATTTAACTGTTTCGTTTCTAAATATGATTTATAATTCAAAATTCCACTTGTATTGTTTTATCAAAATATCGAAAGTTCGTAAATGTTACTTGCATTCCAGAGATGATATTTCCAAAACTATCCCATCTTTTACCCTAAAAAGCTGACAAAGACTAAGGAATATATAGGAATCATAAAAAATGATGTATAAACATAGAATAAAATTTTTTTTTATTCCTATGTGTTTAGTCGGAAAAAGGAAAACTAAGCTTAGTGTTTCAGTTGTTAAAACAAAAACAATTAACTATGCTAAACTAAAAAAATATGCCTGTAGATTGGAATTCTTTAAATGTTTTAATTTCAAATAAAATCAAAAAAGTATAAAATGTAAGGAATTTTATCGATTTTTTTTTTTTCTATAGAGTATAGAACAAAAAATTAGACAATTTTACATTTGTGATATTTATTTTTGTATNAGACTACGAAGTTGAACATCAGTAGTCGTAAACACAAAATTCGGTCGGCTGTTCGACGACGGTTATAAAATTATGAAATAGATAAGTTATCATCTTTCTGAATATAACGAAAAGCTCTTCTTTTTAACTCAATCCGTAAAACAAAATAAGGCCGCAATTTAAGTATCGAAATACAATTATATCTATGAAAGCTATAAAAATATCCTATTTTAAATGAAATAAAATTAAAATTATCAAATTTTGTGTTACACGCTAAGAAAAACTACAAAAATGTTTTTCAGATTGGCTTTAATCGGTAGTAATGCAAGAAAACAGCGCCATTTTGATCACTAAAATAAATAAACTCCTATCGGAATTTAGATTTCACTTGCTCTAAACCTGCCGGAATCGGAATTTCGCATCGGAATTTAGTTCCAAGCGGAATCAAGAGCTCGTAATACGGCTTAACTGACATTCACGGATTTGTGACGTCACGAGAGTCCCACTTCGATTTTTACCTGGAAAATTCAGGGAAATTTGAAATCTGATTTGAGTGGCCACCCTGAGTTTATGTACTCCTGATGCCTACAACACGAGAGGAACGCATTACTGTCGCTGTGACGGACTTTGATAAGAACAAGCTTTAGAATCTATGGTATGTGGGTCCCGGTGACCAAGGGTGCTCAGTTATCTATTGTATGCATCTTTCTATCGCCTGCCTAGTGACATTAAGTCATACAATTCAAATATAAAATATTCTAAACAAGAATTTCTTCTTTTTTAGGATATTTTATATTTATTACGGCAATTTTAAACGAAAGTACGTAGTTAAAAATATAAAAAAAGACATTTATGCGGACGGACAGTTAGTTTTTCGAGCCCTGTAAAAAATGCATGTCACGCTTACGTCGGGCAATTTAATTTTTGAGCCATGCTCATAGCACTATTTTCAGGGTGCGTAGCGTTTTTTAAAGGTGCTTATTTTCGTTTTTTAAAAGCCCTTAAGGGTGCTTTTTTCAGTGGGTGTTTTTAAAAAAGTGCTTAATTTTCCCCTTTTCAAAATGAGATTTTTCCTTTCCTATGTTGATTTTCACTTCGAATTATGCAAAAAGACAGTTCACATTGTTCTATTAAACGTTTTCACAATTAATTCAACCCCAATCTATTTCGGCACATTGTCAGTCCGTAGGGTATGAAAACGCCATTCGTTTTACACGGTTCAAAATTTCATGATTTTTTACAATTGTCAAAAACAATGCCAAAGCGTTTTTTTTTTTTTTTACGTGACTTAAAAAAGGATAAAACTGTCAATCGTCAAAAACTTTCAACCCTGCCTAATTAATAATATTTNATTTTTTTTAAAGCGCTTAAAAATATTTTTTGAGTGCTTGAAAAGTACTTAAAAGGTGCTTATTGTTTGTTGAATAATTTGGCTACGCACCCTGTATTTTGCAAACACAATTTTAGTTTTCTTTCATATATAAGGTGTGTACTACAGTAATAAATATAAATTTTGAAGACTAAAAATAAACAACTTTAGGGGAAAAAATGTCGAATAAACAAAACCCTTATCACTAAAAAAATAAAAAAAATATTCGAAATTGAAATTACGAAGAACAAGATATTTTTCATTCCATTCTTTATTTTAATTCTAACATTTGGCTTGATAAGGAATAGTTTAGATTGAATTATGAATGTTCATACCCTTTTAATTTTCCGTATCAATGATAGTATGGCAATGAATTTCTCTCATAAAAGCATCAACTAAATAAATTATTTTTCTGTAATCTTAAAATAAAAATATTTCAACTTAAAGAGAAATGCATTTTCTTTAAAAATAAAAGGAGCAAATTTTTAAAGGTACTTTTTTTTCTTACGAGTGTCAAAATTCAAATTTTAAATTAAACAAATGATCTTGTTTTGAAAAGCCAAACTTTGCATTCCTGAAAAAGGGTGCATTACCTTAGTATGCGTAATCCGATCCCTTTATCCTTTTAAAAAAATAGAACAAAATTTATTTCACCTGCTCTTTCAAACAGCTGCTTTTACCAGCACCCACGAGTTAGTACATGGAACAAAAATACCCAAAAAGCTTCTTGAAGCAGACGATTATTAAGTCAATAATTATAAATATCTTACGCTTTTAATAAGTGACTTTTTAGCTTTGATGAATCTAAACTAAATATTGATGGCAAATTAGGTAAAA